GGGGGGGGCTGAGCCTCAGTAAAGCAGGTTAATCCAAATTGACTGAAACTGACTGAAACTCTCAATAAACAAATTCAGCACACTTAGTTTGTGGTTGTTGTTCATTCCAATGAACTGGTATACTGTAAATAACAAAAAGCAACAGAAGAAGTTATTTTGGATGGTTTAGAGTTTCTTTAAGGTAATACAGAATTTACAGTGCATGAGGGCTCTGTTCTTTCTCTTATATATTCGAGTTTTAAAATCTTAATATGTTGTCAGGAAGCAGTTGTTTCCCTTCTTTAGAACCGTTTATAGTCACGCTATGGCAATTTCTCTGTTTTTCCTTATGGTCTTTTAAAAAAATGAATATAAATTAAACATAGAAAAATATTATAAAATGTGCTTTGTAGATTATCATAGTAAGACAAAATAGTTTTGCAAATTTCAGTGTGCCTGAGTTCATTTTTTTATTGTATTTTACATTCAAGTCTTCTATCAACAACAGTACCTTATTGACATCATAAGACTTTACTGTAAATTTATTTGGAAATAAAAAAGAAAGCACTTTCTAGATCAGGGCAGTTCAATCGCCATGAAGATGGACAACATTTATGAGAATGTGATAATGAAATCGGCTGTGGATTTGTCATCATGCCCTCAGCCTACAGGTGCCATACAAAGTCAAAGGAATTCAGCAGGGACAGTCTAGAGCCATGCCGATACAACCCATCTTTGAGGACATAGACTCTTCTTAAATCTGTTTCATCTACAACATGTGATTAATGAACAAAAGTAAAAATTGCTCTAAGCCTAGTTAAAACTTCAAAAAAAAGTTTGAAAAATACTGACTTAGAAATTCTGTTTGAACATTAATAGTGTCATATAATGTGAAACACAACGTAAATGAGAGAGAAAACTGTCAAGTTTGTTCCTCAAAATATTTTTATTGATTTTTAATACCTTAGGTGTCTCATATGTTGTACATACTTCATTCTAAGTGACTCTGTTTATTTTCCTGGATGAATTAAGTCTCATATTATATGTAAGGCTTTTAAAGGTTCTATTTTTGTATTGGTATTTGTCCACTGTTTATTATTTTTATTTGTAAACATGATTTATCTGTCTTAAGAACAAAATGCTAGTATTTTGGGCTATCAGGCAGAGGTAGAGTTAGTTCCTTTTTTTGACCACTAAAAATACAACATTGTTCACTGTTCAGTGGTTTTAAAATTTCCTGTTGTCTTGAGTTGATTCTACATCTATAGATATCTGGCCTGACCTCCTCAATTCACAGCTTTAAAGTTACATTAAGACAAACTCACACAGTTAACATCTATTGAACATTTCAATTTAAGAAGTAGAGGTAGAATTTGGCAGTACAACATTATAGCAGATACATTTCCTAATGTATAGCTGTAAGCAATGTTCCTTATGATACTGTTAGCAATTTTGAATGCTGAAAATAAGGACCCTGTGCAGGATTGAAGTAGGCTTATTTCCCGAGGAGTAATAGGAAAGCTAAATAGGAAAGGCTGCCAAAAAAGAAAATAAGTCCTAGTTCCTGAAATCCAAAGGGCAGGCGACAGTCAAAACATTACAATACAGAGAGGCAACCAATCCAAAAACCGCAAAGGCAGAAACGTGGTCAGAATCTAGCGAGAGTCAGGAAGTAAAGAACAGAACAAGCTATAGAAGGAGGGGACGTGTACTAAGGAGCTCCAGGGAGAATCCGAAATAGTGAAAAAAAAAAAATAGTGAAATAGGAAAAGAGGAGGGTTAAAATAGTGACGGGACTGAAAGGCGATAGGAAGATTACTCCTATTACTGTTTAAGTGAGTGCGCGTGGGAATGTGACGGCGTTTGTGAGAGTGTGTGAAATGTGTGACAGTGCGTGCAGAATGCGGAACAGATACCACCATGCAATAAACACAGTCTATTTTGTAAATACTGTATCCATAATTTAAAGTGCTAATCTCTTTACCATTTAATTAATGAAAATGAAATTCTCTCACATACTGCTTTTCCCAGTTGAGGAATGAGAAATCCAGTCTGCCAAACACAGAGAAACCCAGCTGGTGGGAATTTCTGACGACCCACAACCCGTGTTTATTTCCAGCATCTGAGGAAAGCAGTGCTGAAAAACAGTGTCTTTCTACAAGAGGACTTCAGTGGTGTTTGCTTGTGTGTGGATCATCACTCTGATTGCTGGACTGGGCTTCATCAGGGACATGGGTACCACAAGTTAGGCTCCAGCATCCCCTGTCACCCTGTATTAGATAAAGGAGGATTGGCCAGATCTTCTCAATTAATTACAGAACCTTCACACAGTGATTTTTGTAGCTGCATTTGGAAGACCATTTCCTGAGAGAATGAAAGACATGACAAAAATTTGTAAATTTTGAAGAAATTCACAGGCCCAGACAGTTTATCAGCTGCAGCCCTCAGCTATTGTACTGATCAACTGGCTCCTGTGTTTACCAACATTTATAACACTTCACTTCTTCAGCAGAAAGTCTCTCGCCGTTTTAAAATATCCGCTATAATACCTGTTCCTAAATCTTCAAAAATATCCTGCCTCAACGACTATAGTCCAGTTGCTCTGACATCGGTGACTATGAGAGCCTTTGAGTGTCTAGTGCTAAAGCACCTCCAGCACTGTACATCTTCCCTGATGGATCCTCACCAGTTTGCCTACAAGGCCAACAGGTCAGTCGAAGACGCTGTTAACCAGGCTCTCCATTGTATACTCCAGCATTTGGGGAAGCCAAATTCCTATGCCCACATCCTTTTTTTGGATTTCAGCTCAGCATTCAATACCATTAATCCACATAAATTATGGAAAAATTGTTGGCTTTGAACTCTATTCTATCTCATCTCTCTAAAGCTGCACCTCCAGTCGTGCCAAGAAAATCATCTCAGACCCCTCTCGCCCAGCTCATAATCTCCTCCAGCTTCTCCCTTCTGGAATATGTTTCAAGTCAAAGGACTGCCCAACCTCAGCTTATTTCCCACTGCCATATGAACTCTGAATTCACGCTGAACTCTGAATTCCATTGTATAATTTATGCTGCTACACGGAAAGTTGTTTACATATGTATGTGACGATGTTTGTCTGTCTTCTGTCCTATTTAAATTTGTACAGTATGTTGTATGTATGTCTCATCTGTGCTCTTTCTGTATCGATAGCAAATTCCACCAACTATTGTTGAATAGAATAATCTTTATTCTATAACCATTATACATCTTTTTTCTCTGTGTAGATAATAAATAATAGTTGAATAAAATTATGGAGGGCATTAATTATGGAGCAAAGTTAAGGTGCAGTTTTTACCTTCGGTAACTCTCCATTTAACCCAAGAAGCCTTTCTGTAGGGTTTAGTACTAGATTTTCAAATTGGCCAGAGGGGATATTACATGAAGACAAATAGCTATATCCTAGACATATCCTCAGACAGCAGCCTTGTGGGGTGCCAGTGCTCAGGGTGAGTGGTGTTGATGTGTTATTACCTATCCTCACCACCTGTGGTTTCTTGTTTAGGAAATCCAGCAGCCAGTTGCAGACAGAGTTCCACAGTCCTAGTCCCCTGAGCTTTGTCACCAGTTGGCTGGGTATGATGGAATTGAATGCTGAACTGTATTCCACAAACAGCATTCTCACATACGAGTTCTTAGTGTCCAGGTGTTCCAAGGCTGTATGCAGAGCCAGGGAGACAGCATCATCCACTGATCTGTTGATAGGCGAACTGCAAACGGTCCAGGGAGTCTGTAATGGAGGAGTTGATGTGTGACAACACCAGCTTCTCCAGGTATTTCATCACCACAGATATTAACGCTAGTGGGCGGTAATCGTTCAGGCACGTCACTTTTGCCTTTTTGGGGAGTGAAGCAGGTGGGGACAATGGACTGTGTCAGGGAGGTTCTGCGTAAAATAGACAATGGTAAGGGGTTGATGGTAAAAACAAATATCACAAAGACATCAAAAAGTCAAAATGGTTTTGCAAATAAAAATCAAGGAAGTAACTGTGGTTATTGAGAATCTGAAAGGAGCTTTATCTTCAGCCTTTTATGGATCACAACTAATTGCAGAGATAATTTGTAAGTATTTGACCAACACAGACATGTGGTGTAGCAGCTCATCAGCCTCAGTTAGCTGTCTTTAAAATCAGCTGCAAATAAACCAATTTACACTCTCCTTTAGGTATACATATTTCCTGTTGTACAATTGCACTGGGATATTTAGCATTGGAAATTCTGATTAAAAAGGTTGATTCAACAGCTCTAAGAATCAAACAATGAAAGTGCTGAAGAAGTTGTCCTGTCCATACAAGGCAGATGCAACACACCATATTTTACCTAAGAATCTTCCTGTCTATTAATGAAAGTATCTTATTTGCATCATAAGGTTTTACTGTAAGCTTGTAAATAACAAGTTCCTCTTTCTGTTGCATTTTCTATATCAGTGTAGTTTAATCACCGTGAAGATGGACAACATTTATGAGAACGTGGAGATGAAATCAGCTCTGGTTTATCCATTATGTTCTCAGCCTACAGCTGTCATGCGAATTCAAGGGAATTCAGCAGGTATAGTCCACAGGCATGTCAGTATTAAAGATCTTTAAGATTGTAGACTCTGCTTCCAACTGTTGAACGTACTGAATATGATTAGAAAACAAAAGTTAAAATTGCTATAAAACTAGTTAAAATTTTTAAAACAAATGTGTTTAAAAAATACTGACTTAGAAATTCTCTTTGAACATTAATGGTGTCGTGTACTCTGCATAAACTTAACTTACTGTATGTTCTGATAGTCTCGTAAAAGCGAACTTAGTGCTTGGTCAAAGTGAAACAGAAAAAAACTGAGAGAGAAAACTTAAATCTTATTTGTGAATAAAAGACACAAAATCTCTTTTTTCAGAACAAAAAATGAGAGAGAAAACTGTCAAGTTTGATATATTTTCTCAAAATATTTTTTATTGATTTTTGTATATCTTAGGTGTGCATAAAAGTCACAAAATGTGTTTCATATGATGTACATACTTCTTTCTGAGTGACTGTGTCTGTTAAATTTCAGATGAAATTAGTCACATGCTATATGTAAGGCTTTTAAAGGTTCTATTTTTGTAGTGGTCTTTGTCCATTGTTTAATTTTTTATTTGTAAGCTTGATTTCTCTTTTCTAAAAACATGATGCTAGTATTTTACACTATGAGACAATGGCACAGTTAGTTCCTCATTTCAGACACCAAACGTACAGCATTAAATATTCACACTTCAGTGGCTTTAATATTTCCTTTGCTTATTATACCCCTGAAATAAGTCCACTTTACATGTCTAAAGAGTTTTAGCCGTTTAATAACCTCCTCAATGGAAATAACATGATTAAAGATAAACTGACAACATTAGAATCTGTGGAACATTTCAATCTAAGAGAGGGTTCAGGGTCTAATTCTAGGTGTACATTAGTGCAGATAAATGTTGTAGTGTAAAACTGTAAGCAAAATCCCTTATGATACTAAAATGCAATGAACAAAGTCAATTTTGTAAATGCAGTACAATATCCTCAATTGTAAGGGCTAATCTTTTTATCATTTAATTAATGAAGTTGTAATTAAAGAATTTCCTTAAAATTGCTACAGAAACGCAGTCAGCCAAGCACAGAGAAACCTCCTTGTTGGGGATTTCTGACAACCCACAACCTGTGTTTATTCCCAGCATCTCAGGGAAACAGTGCTGGAAAAGAGTCTTTCTACAAGAGGACTTCAGTGGCCTTCGCTTGTGTGTGGATCATCACTCTGATTGCTGGACTGGGCTTCATCAGTGAGTATTAAAAACAGTTCAGTGACAGACCACTTGGGCAAATTCTTAATGACGGCGTCGTGGCTGTGCAGTCGTTAGCACTGCTGACTTGCAGCTCTGGGGTTCTGTGTTCTCCCTGTATTTGCATAGATTTCCTCCCACAGTCCAAAGACATGATGGTACAGTATGTAAATTATCAGGTGTGACTGTGTGTCTGTGTTGGTGCCCTTTGATGGCTTGGTCTCCTATGCAGGGTGTATCCCACCCACCCTGTGCCTTTTTCTGTGGGATCCAGCATCCCCTGTGACCCTGTATTAGACAAAGGGGGTAGGAAATGCATGGGTGGTTGGCCAGAAGTCCTCAGTTAATTACAGAACCTTCACACAGTGATTTGTGAAGCTGCATTTGGAAGACCTTCTCCATGAAAGGCATGACAAAAACTTGTAAGTTTTCAAGAGGTTGAGCTTTAATTGCATTTTTTCAGTTTACCGCAGTTCATTGGAAAATAGACGTGTCTCTGAGCTTCAGAATGATTTGTTGGACTTGAAGATGAACAGCTCCTCACACATCACTGGCAAGTACTATTCTGGGTTTATCATTGTACTGTATGTCTTTTTGCTGGATAAAGTTAATAAATAATAGTTGAATAAAATCATATTATAATTATGGAGCAAAGTTAAGATGCAGTTTTTACCTTCTGTAATGCCCCATTTTCATATAACTCAAGATCCAGTACTAGATTTCCTTATTGGCCAGAGGATAGTGAGGATTACATGAAGAAAAATATCTATATCCTTTATATATTGTTACACCTATAGGTGACTATTGAAGTGTCTCTAAAATCTAGATACAAAGGGTAACACCTGGCTATTGTTAACATTTCCTGCTTCAAAGCAAAGGGACGTTTGGCTGAGATGTAGGAGGTCCAGATTCATTGATCAAACCAACCATAAGGTCCATCTTAGTTAATTATGTTCTGGGTAGATGATTAAGTGTCAATCCCCACTCCAGAAAGACACCATTTAAAAGGATGGTGAAGCAGAGAGAAAGGAATAGGAAGAGGTGTTGAAGGTGAGAGCTACTTGTTTCAGATCACCTGGAAAGACCAGATTGGGGTTACGTATTTGAACCTTGTTAAGAGACCCTGCTATACATGTAGCTCCCTGTAGTTTTTAGGGAGCTCTGATTTCCTGTGTAAAATTCCCTTGGTTAAAAACCTCTTCTGGTTGGCGACTGCATTTTTAGAATAAGGAGATATGTTCCCATTCATCTGGTGGGAGATTTAACTGTAGGTTGTATTCTCTTTATTTTAGGATGCAGCCTATTTCTTCTTGGCCTTTGTAAGTGCTATTTAAGAGTGAAATACTAAGCAGCAGTCTGGGTTTTTTTCTGGTTGGTTAGAACATCGACCTCTGGGATACCGTGTTCGTCAAGAAACATTTATGTCTATTTGTTCTTTAATGATCTTGAATGATCTTTACATCACACTGAGCTTCACACTTCATCCTTTATATTTTTATTGTCAAATATGAGTTGTCTGATGGTCAGTTCTGAAGAAAGATATGAGATGTGAAAAAGGGTTAACTGATTTCTTTCTGCACAAAGACCTCTTTTGGTACAAAACATTCCTTAAGCACTTTTGAGTTATGGCAGGGACAGGAGTTAACTGATTAGAGATTCCAAGTGTGAGCTGGAGACTCCCCAACTATGGGAAGATGAGACCGGCCATTCAAAGTGTTCAAGGTCGCAAGAATGTCCAAATACAGGTGACCTCCCTCCATTACCATGGTAAGAATTTGCGTCAGAAACGGCTGAAGTTTGCTATATAAACCGGAGCTCTGCACCTATAATTTTGAACAATTCTTTGATTATATTGTTCCTTGTATGCAATAAAACTCACTTGCTCAGCTTCATCTCGGGGTCCAGAACTTATTTGTGTGTTACAACACTTCCATGTTCATCTAACATACTGTATATTCCTATGTTTTATTTGTTGATTTTCCAGAGCTACAGAATAATCTGGAGACACTGCAAAGAGAACACTCTGACCTTCAGAGAGACCATTCAGATCTACAGACAGACTACAGATACATTAGCAGAAGCTGTCAGCTTAAACAGAGCTTCAAGGCTAGTGAGTAACAGTGTCTCCATATTCATGTTGCATGTGTGTTCGGAGTCACCCTGAACTGCAGAAGAAATTGGAGAAAGAGGAGGCTGAGAACTCCAGTCTGCAGTATATCTACAGGAGCATGAAAGCCAACCTTCTCCCCAAAGAGATGTGTTTTCCAAATAGCACCGAAATGACTGGCAAATGACTGCTGTATTGATTTGAATTGTAATTCATTTTCCTAAATTTCCTGTCTGGAGAGATTTGGAATTGTTTTCTGAAGTTCATCATGAAAGCACAGGAGGAAAACAATATACTGTAGCAACTTCTACCAGTCAGAAGACAAGACTTCACTCTTCCTATGCAAGAGTTATTTGATCATGCCAGCTCCTGCTAAGAGCATTTTACTATCGTTATGGCAAACCCATCAGCTTCTTTTGTAGGGTTTTATTTCTGGGAGGTTAGAACGTAGACCTCTGGGATGCCTTATTTGTACATTTCTACGTAGTGTAACAACCTATGTTGTGTATTGTTTAATGTTGTCACGCCCTCTACAGCTAGAGGGTGCTCCTACTCTGTCCTGTTCCTAGTTTCCCTGTGCTTTGCTTGTCCTCCCGGCGTGTCTTTGTTTTGGGCTTTATAGTTCCAGGTCACCCTTTCCTCCTCGCTCAGCGTTGAGGGTTCGGATGTCTTGAGACCCTTCTAGCACCAGGTCGTCTGCTCCGCAGCCGGAGGGCATAGGTTTCTACCCGACATCGTCTGACCCCCTGAGCCCGGGCTAACCCCCGTTTCGCCGCTACGCATAGGGTCTTTTTTGCCCTTCCACGGCCTGCCCTTTCCGACATCCATGACAAATGTGTATTTTAACTGTTAGTAAATATTTGTTTAACACAAACCGCCTGAGTTATTACTCTTTTCACCAAGGTTGTGGCAGAGAACAAAGAATTAATGTGCCTTTTTATCTACCACTCGGGTATATTCTTGCAAAATCTTTACAAGTTGGGGGTTATGAAGATTTATTTTACTTTCCGATTAATCCACTCATAGTATTTCTGATTTTTTTCCATTTTCATAATCGCCCATTTGTAACAGTATCATAGCTCTGTAACTTTACCCCATATATCACACTATGCAGTATATGTTTTAATTAATCTACCTTTCTTTGTACATGATAGAAGTTATTACACTGCAATCCTGCTAAAATATGGAAAAAAATATTATTGTACTCATACTTATTTTTGTCCTCATTTTACAATAAGGGTGTGCTTCTGATCTCCATTAATCCAGAATTCTTTTACACACTGTCAACTTTATTTCCATATGAAGAAATAGGTTTTCCCATCTTTACACAAATAAGCCTTAAACAAGCACTTTTCAGCACTATGTGATGAGACAAAACATGCCAGACCCTGAACACAAATGTGCTCCATGTCACCCAGAGCTGCAGAAGAAAGTGGAGGCTGTGGAGGCTGAGAACTCCAGACTGCAGCGTCTCTACAGCAGCATGATGGCCAGTTATCTCCCCATAGAGATGTGCTTCCCCAATGACACCAACAAGACTGGTAAATCACTACTGTATGGAATGATTTCCATTTCTAGAGCTCATTATGAATGCATAGGAGTAAGACAAGACACCAACTCACCAGCTCATTAGCCATCTCTCAAGACAAGTGGCATAAAGCATCTAAAGAATTTAGATTTCTCGTTGCACCAATCTTTACTCAAGCACCCTTCTGATCAATCCCATAATTACCACCAATGTGACTACCCATGGTCTATTTTAGGAGGATTCTGACTGGGTGGTCAGTATGGCCAGGATATTGTTCCTCAAGCCAAGCATAGTAAAGCCTTAAAGCTTAATGTGAGTAATTCGACACCTTTTCGGGAGAAATATGTGTGTCTCCTGAAAAAGCACAGGATGAACAGTCAACACCAAAAATACTGAAGTGATTTTATTTCTATTTTTGTAAGTCTTAAAAGAGATTTTATGCTCACTTACTGTCAATGTTCTTTTATTTCAGTCAGACGTGTGTTTTCTGAGTATTCAAGTAAGTTGGTTTTATTTGAAATTCTTATTTTAATTTCAGTTATAGTTGTAACACAGCTTTTATATTTGTATGAGGTCTTAACCAAAAGCACATCATAAAACAGAAACAGTAAAACTAGGGTTAGGACATTTTTCCGATTACAGCCATGTGGAAAATGTTAGTAACCTCTCAATAGAAACATTGTACATACTATCTGGGAGAAAAAAAAGGTGCTGCTTTACATGTTGAATGAGTAGTATTATGTCCTCAGTGAATTAGGGAAGATTGTGAAATTTAATACTCGGAATTAGGCAAAAACACATTTTCAATTCTCATGTATTCATACTTAAATTGAAATAAAGTAAAGCTGCATGTAACTGCCAAAATAAAGGAAACACTTGAGTAAGTGAGAGATTAGACAAAGTACATGGAAAGCAAGTGTTTCCACATGGGTGTGGATCCCTGAGTTAATCAAGCCAGTAACAGCCCATCAGGATCAGGGTCATGTATAAAAATGTAAGGCTGACCTGGTTGTCCATTGTTTTGGCTGACAGGTCTTGAGAAAGAGATCTCAGTCTCTATGAGAGGGGGGTGATTGTTGGGGCTCTTTTGGCAAGAGATTAGTAATGAAGGCTGCTCAGCTTGTTGATGTTTCATGAGGAACAGTGCCTAAGGTGATGTTGGCATGAAGGTCTGAGGGAAAGACATCATCACTCTGGGGCAACTGTGGACAAATGTGCATAATCCTCAACAGTGATGTCCATTCATTGGTTTGAGATGTGAGGCAATATGGGAGAATAATTCTGAATCACTGGACTGAAAATGAGGTGTGAGTAGGCAGTTTCATCAAGTATAGTCCATGAAGAACTTCACAGAGAGGGATACTATGGTCAGGGTGTGATGTATAAACCCCTTATTACACCAGTGTAATGGTGCAAAGAACACAGGCAATGGTCAACTGAGATGGTTTGTGGTACATTTTCCTGGCATGGTATAGGTCCACTCAACCCTTTAGAAGGCAACAAATGTAAGTCATTCTGAGTGATCAGGTTCTTCCTGGGTGAAGCATCTCTGATAGGAGAGGAATCTTCCATGAAGACAATGCCCCTATCCACAGGGCACAGGTGGTCACTGAATGGTTGGATGAGCATGAAAATGATGCCAAGGCCACCCCAGTCACCCGATCTCAACCCCATTGAACGCTTATGGGAGATTCTGGAGTGAGACAGCGTTTTCCACCACCATCAACAAAAACACATGGTGTTCTCTTGAAAAAATGGTGTCCAGTACAGTTCCATACACTTGTAGAATCTACACTATGTCAAGTTGCTTTATGTTGGTGTTTCCTTTATTTCCATAGTGACCTCTAACTAAAAACACAGTAAAATAATGCAAAGGCATTTTTAATATATCGTTCAATACAGTAAGTGCACATTTTCTTCACAACAGGAAAGGAAGGAGTTGCCCCCATATCAGGTAATTATTTTTTTCTTGAAAGGTCTAGTAATATATTATTTTTAATAACAATCATAGCACATGATTGAATGGATTTAAATATAT